AGAAGGACTATGTGAAGACAGAGATAGCAATTATGCTACCCAAGCCAAGTAATGCCTGGAGACACTAGAAACTGGGAATGGCAAGGACGGATTTTTCCCTCTAGAATCTTCAGAGGGCCTAAGGTCCTGCTGACACCATTCTTTGTACTTGTGGCTTATCACTCTGTGTAGAATTTCTGAATAGAATTACAGGAAGCAGACCCATAAAGAATCTTTGTGGTACAATTGGACTTCATTATCCCTTTTATTAGAACATAATTTAAGCTGTTGTAATATTTTTGCCCTTATGACTACCATCATAAAATGTTTTTAAAGACTGAAGTTAACTAAAGAAATGGAACAAAGCTTTAGACTTGCTCTATTTGGACTTCTTGTCCAAAACTAAGGGAATAAATTTCTGTTGTTGAAAGCCATCAGGTTTGTGGTAGTTTGGTACAGCAGCCCTAGGAATCTCCCCACACACCTTAGTTTCATGTTTATGCACGCTTGCATGAGCACTGAGAGAAATACGCAACTATTTTACATACCCACCCAATGACTCAGTAATTCCACTCCTAGATATGTACTCAATAGGAATAAGTGCTATGACCACCCAAAATGTTTATGGCAGAATTATTCATAATAGTCTCAAACTAAGAACAATCTGAATGTCCATGAAAAATAGAGTGGAAAACTAAATTATGGTATAGTTATTTAACAGAATGCTACAGAGCAATTAAAAAGCCTGAACTCTTGCTACACGGAAGACAAAGAATTCTCACAGACATAAGGTTAAGCAAATGAAGTCAGACTCACAAGAATGCATCCTGGATGATTCCACTTACATGAAATTCAGAAACAGGCAGAATTAATCTATGATGATAGATAGGGGGCATTACTTCAAAGTGGTCACAAGGGAACCTGCCAGAGTGCTGGAAATGTCTATATATATCTTGATCTGGTGAAATGTTTATATGTAAAAGTCAATTGAAGTGTACAGTTAAGATGTATGCTTTTTACTGTCATTTCACTGGGATAAATGCCCAGGAGTACAATTACTAGGTCATATAGTAAGGGTATGTTTAGTTTTTTTTAAGTACCTAATTTACAGCGAAATTTTTTTACCCCTTTCGTTGCATTTTCCATAATAAGCAGGCAGTGCATTCTCGGGGTTTGAAAGCTGTTGGAGATAAGAATGGTATTAGGTTTCATAATTTTCTCACACTTCATTTGCTTACCAACTTCATGATTTGCCAAATATCACGTATCATTTTTAAGATTTAGTGTTAGACATGCAATACAAGTACTGGACTCATAGTTTTAGTCTGCCCAGACTTCCTTCTCTCAATAGACCAGATTTGTTGGGGGAACCACCTATTCCTCACTGGCTATAGTCTTGGTTATAACATTAACTTAGGTGATCTGCTCTCTTGCTGAGAAGCGGGCACATAACCCAAACAAGTTCATTTGGAGGCACTCTGAGAAAGACTGAAAATGGTTGTCAGAATTTCAACCTGAAAGCAGCACTGTGTAAAAAAACTGCCTCATAGTACTGGAGCTGTTCCAAATTTTGACCTTTCTAAAGCCTCAGGTGTCTCACATCCTTTCAAATAATTGTTATGGTTATAAATAAGCCAATTAATGGTTCTGTTTGTAACCAAAAGTTCTAATACACCATGAAATTACAGGTTGGATGTGGTTATATTTCTTCAAGCATATATTAAAATATATTAGTTCTATATTAAATGTCTCATCATCAGCCACTTTAAGTGCTACGAGGCCCCAAAAGTCTGACAAAGCCTTTGTCATGCCATATGTTTATAAAAGGAAAGTATTCAATAGGATTGTGTCTTGCCTACCAACAGCCAGGTTGGTAGGCAATTTCTTGTAAACTCACAAATATGGAGAAAGCTCCATCAAACTTTACTGCAAAGAAATGTTCCTGCACTGATATGCCAGTAAGCAAAGTCACATCCAACTGATAAAGTAGCAAGAGTAGCATGTGGCATAGAAAATATTTCTATAAAGGTTATGTCATACTCAAATTTTAAAATATCAACTTTTCCAGGGAAATGGCCCAATAGCAGGCTACCTGTGAACTGTTAAGGCACATTACTTGATCAGTGCTATGTAAAAGGTTTTGCCTTTAAAAAAAAAATGTTATCATTAATCTACAATTACATGGAGAACATTGTTTACTAGGGTCCTCCCTTCACCAAGTTACCCCCCAAAACCCCATTACAGTCACTGTCCATCAGCGTAGTAAGATGTTGTAGAATCACTACGTCTCCTCTGTGTGGCACAGCCCTCCCCATCCCCCCCCACATTATACATGCTAATCGTAAGACCCCCTTTCTTCTTGCCTGCCCTTATCCCTCCCTCCCTTCCCACCCATCCTCCCGAGTCACTTTCCCTTTGGTAACTGTTAGTCCATTCTTGGGTTCTCTGAGTCTGCTGCTGTTTTCCTCCTTCAGTTTTTTTTTTGTTTATACTCCACAGATGAGTGAAATCATTTGATACTTGTCTTTCTCCGCCTGGCTTATTTCACTGAGCATAATACCCTCTAGCTCCATCCATGTTGTTGCAAATGGTAGGATTTGTTTTCTTATGGTTGAATAATATTCCATTGTGTGTATATACTACATCTTCTTTATCCATTCATCTACTGATGGACACTTAGGTTGCTTCCATTTCTTGGCTATTGTAAATAGTGCTGCGATAAACATAGGGGGGTTTTGCTTTGTTTTTAAGAAGCAAAGTTCTAAGGAAAAGCCTGTAGTAAGTTTTAAATAATTCTGGAATTTATAGTAAGTGCACTTGACCAGTTTAGTTAGAATCATTGTTTACTCAGTGACATTTTTATGACTTGGCTATCTGCAAAGACAATACATTTCAATATGTAATTATTATATAGCAAGTGCTTTAGCAGATAAAGTTGTAGGCAGCAGTTTATTAAAAGTTCTTAGTTTGATGTAATGGAAAACTTATGATTGACAATTTCATGAAAATATTTCAGTTTTTCAATTGAATTTTCATGTTTTTTTTTAAAGAGCCTCATTACCAAAGGCAATTAGGAATTTACCTAAAGAAGTTGGCATACTCCCTGCTTAGTTTATATCATTACTAAACCCATGACAGACAAAACTGACCCCAGTTTACCTCCCTGGGCAGTAGCAGCTACTCTTATTTTCAGCAGGATTTAGATTGCTAATGATAATGTACTACCTCCTGTTCAAGATGATGCAAGATAGTATTTTTAATGTCTACAAAGGTGTTCCATGGAGTTTGATATTTTCCAAATTACACTGTAAAGTCAGTACTTCATCTAAATAATTTTGTCTTGCTTTGGCAATGAGCCAAAAGAAATAAAGTTAGTGCATGAGTCAACTTTACTGATTACAATTATTCACCTATATTTTTCCTTAGTATCTTGTAACTAACCAGTTTCCCTCTTCAGAAGTTTACCTATTTTTGTTACCTTTCTTAAATACACCAGGTGAAAAGAAATTAAAGTGTTGATACATTACAACAATTACATTTCATTTTCTCCTCTCTAACTTTTCCATCTACTTTGAGGAAATGTCTGGTTATAATGAAGTTAAAAATCAAACACTCTTAACAATGAATCATTCAAATAAGTGTCACAAAAATTAATCAAGAACTTTGTTTTTAAGTCTAGAGATCTTCCTTATCCTAATACTCTCTTAGAAGCTGTCATTTTTTCCCTAGATTTGTAAGGATTGTTTAACTTCTAAGTTATTCCACTATACAGGATATTTAAGATACGGAAATTATTCATTTAAAAAAGGCAAATAAAGGATGTGACTTAAAGCATAAAAAATTCTTTGTACTTGTGGCTTACCACTCTGTGTAGATTTCTGAATAGAATTACAGGAATCAGACCCATAAAGAATCAGACTTCTTCATTATCCCTTTTATTAGAACGTAATTTAAGCTGTTGTAATATTTTTGCCCTTGTGACTACCATCATAAAAAGTTTTAAAGACTGAAGTTAACTAAAGAAATAGAACAAAGCTTTAACTGAAAATCTGTGCTACAATGAAGACAAAAACTCAAGCTTCTAAAACTAAAAAACTTCATGTTTGCCTCATTCAGTATTAGATACACTTAGGATTCCATTCTATTTATGGGTGGTACCATTGGTAAGTTACCCATCACAAGATTACCAGAATCTTCATTAAGATATTCTGTGAACTGTTGAAGATCTATCCATTAGTGGTAGATATATTAGGTGACTAGTAAAAATTTGTTGAATTGGATGTGAAAAATCAATTATTTGAATAATATTTTTAATTTACCTTACTTCAATGATATTTTATTCTTTTTGCAATAATTATGCATATTTTCTTCAGACTATAACAAGGTCTCAAATCTTAGTTTCTCTAGGTTAACATATTTCTAAATTTATAGCCATCATTAAATCACAAGTTTTTGAAGACTCTCAGAACAGACTAAAAATGGTACTCTTAGACACAGAATGAATCCTAATATAAACTATATATTTTGAGTGATAATAATGTGTCCATGTGGGCACATCAATTGCAACATACCACTCTAGTGTTGTATGGTGGGGTATGTTCATAATTGGGGAGACTACATGAGAAAAGGCATGGGGTATATAGGAAATCTCAGTTCTGCTGTGATCTTAATTCTGTTCTAAAAAATGAAGTCTATTGAAAAATGGCACTTATTCCAAAAATGTTAAAGCTGTAAGTAGAATTCCTATTGAGACCTCATTTAGTTTATGTTAATTTAGTTGCTATCCCAGGTTGCTTGCACTATATATTGTAAATTCTTCAAGCAAACCAGTGGATTACAAAACAAAATTAGTAATGCCATCTTAAATTCTATTATACAATGAAGTTGACTTTAACGATTTACTTTAACAAAGTTTATGACAAAGATACTAGATTTATATGAAATCTTATCATCTGACCACATTACCTAATAAATTATATAAATGTTCAGATGATAAATAATGTTCACCAACATGTCACGTGTAGTTAGTGTTTTATTCTTTGAAGATGGTTCTGAAATATCACACTAAATCAGGCTGAAAGGTTAAGTTTAAAAGAGCTTTATAAGGATATGTTATAACTTATGTAATGACTGTCCACTCTACAAAAATCTTGATCATAGAGTTATGAGACACCTAGTTGGCAGTAGCACCCAGGTTTTCCAAGTAGTGATCATTTTTTTATTGTCTGCATAGACTTCTTATTAGCTACCTTCTGCTTTTGTTGCATTATCTCAGAGTCCCTATAATAGGGGAAAAGGCTGTGAGTTGTTACAGAAAAACTGATTTTATGTTCTTACTTATTTCTATACAATACCCATTTAGTGAATTAGAAGACAATTCAAGAGAAGATATAAATAATCATGTCTTTCCATTGTCATGGATGGAGACAGAATGAGAAGGTAAAGAATGGAAAGGCTTTGAAGTCAGATTTTATTTTGAATTCCATCTCTACTGTTATGACCTTGGGCAAATAACCTCAAAGCCCTTTCAAAACTGGAGCAATACATACCAAGGTTGTTCTGAGGAACAGCTATGAATATGTATACATATGTACACACATAAATAAGCATCTGACATTACGCAGCTTAATGCAGAAATAATGGCAATTATGCTTGGCTGTCAACAAAATTAATCCACTCATTCTTTTCTTGAAAGAAGGGGCATTTAAGAAGTCTCCTAGGTATCCTAACTGGCACCTAGGATTAGCACATAGATGTTCTGAAGAAATTTAATTTCTTTTAAGTCAAAAGCTCAATAGACAGTGACTAAAAACGGATTACATTAAAGAAAGGCAAAATATCCAGGGCATTTTCTTAACCTTTTGTGTCTCTTGCTAAACAACCACATGCCATGTTAACAGAACTACAACCAGACTACCTGGGCTAGATGGTTCATGAAACCCGTATTAAAAAAAAAATTAAATGGCTATATGTTCAACACCTATTATGTGCTAGGCATTTTATTGGCTCTGGATTAAGTCCTCCAAAACTCTTAGTTATTATCCCCATGTTTCAGATTAAAAAAAAAGAAAGGAAAGCTAAATAATTAGAGTTAAATAATTTGTCTCAAGTCACATACAAACCAAGGTTTGTTCAATTTCAAAGTCCAGGCTCTTTTCTATGTTGCTATTGCATAGATTTAGTATTATATTTTAGCTCAGGATGAGTAGCTATGTCCATGACAGAAAGACATTTCTGCATAGGCAATAACAAAAACAAAGAATGAGATGGAAGGAAAAATAAGATAGCTACAAAGAGATGGTATCATGGGAAAGAATAATGATAGCAATTTTTCTGTTTGAAATCAAGTTTTGCTGTGCTTGCCTGTATGACTTTAGTAATGTTACTGAATTTCAGAGCCTCAGTATCCTATTCTGTGCATTAGGGTGACCCCACTCTTCAGGTTGTGATGAATAGAGATAATACATGCAGAGCACCTTGCACAGAACTTTGTAAGAGGTGGGTATTCATTAAACAGTGGCTATCAGTAAGCCAAGCTAGACTAGGTTCTCCAATTAAAGTATTACTTCAGATTCACTGATTTGTACCACATTCACTTGTACTCCAATGTGAGTAAACCGAAATTTAAGGCAAAGCTTACTACTTTAATAATAAATGTCATAGAAAAGTGTGAAGTGATAATGTAAGGCCTTCAACCTCATTAAACAATGATTCTTAACTCTGGCACATTAGAATTACCTGGGGAGCTTTTTTAAAGTCAGGTTTAAGTTAAATATAATAAACTTTCTCTAGAGTTCCTTTTAAGACCTATCTTGAGACCAATTAAATCAGGAGTGGGTGAAGTGGCATGAGCGGTTTCCCAGGTAGTTCTAATGTGCAGCCAGGCTTGAGGGCCACAGAGAAGACACACTAAAGCATGTATAGTCATTTATTCACCTGACTTCCAACTTCTACATGGACAACAAAATTTGATTTTAGAATAAAACTTTGGTTAACTTGTATAGAAACATGTTTGCTGCTGCTTCCCCCCCCCCTTTTTTTAACTTAAGCTGAAGTCTCAAAGTATTTCTGTAGCAGTTTTGTATTAGTTGTCATATGTAGTCATACCAAGGTTGTGTACTTGCATTCCCTCCAACCCAAGGTCTTCAGAAGTCAGTACAGCTACATAGGCTTTTCTGTGCCTTCTTGAGAACAGTTATCACTGTAATTGAGTTACTTCATCCATACTTGCTTGCATAGGATGTCTGCTTTGCAAATCTTGTACCTCTACCACCTAACAGTGCCTTATATAGGGAAGATGTTCAATCATTTTGCTAAATAAAGTTCTTTTGGTTGTAGTGGAGTTGCATGACATTCTTTGCAAGAAAAATTATAGCTTGAGAGCTTTAAAGTCTTCATCCATGGGTTGGGATAATGACTATCCCATATAGTTTTAGTATGCCTGGCACACAACAGGTATTTAACTGTTACCCCTTCCCACAGATTAGGCCTATCAAGGATTTGAAAAATGCTTTCCATTTCCAAAATGAAAACTTCAGTGACTTGAGAATTAGTATCACTTATCTCTGCTTTCTCTGAGAGGTAGTCAAGCTATCCTCTTTTCTTTTTCCCTTGTTGATTTCCTGGGATTTCTTCATGTTTTTCTGGCGGGCAAGTTCCCGCTGATTTCCACCTACAAAGAGTAAGTCATGCTCTTTTTCCATATCTAAAATTATGAATAATCCCATTATAAGGTTCTTATTTAAGTGCATCTGAAGTTTGTTTTTTAATAAATATGTCAGCAGAGTACTCCACTGGTATTCCTAGATCTGTGGAGGAGGAAGCTTAAAGGGAAATACTTGAGGTCTTAAAAGTATTATCATACCAATCAAGGTCTTCACTGGCTATAAATACCAGATCTCTTAAAATAGGCATTCCAATCGTCTGTCTATATGGGCTAGTATTCCAAAATAAGTTGTGGCTTTGGAGGAATGTGGTGGAGAAAGACAGATAAACAGAAATCACACCTCGCACAAGTTGGCTCATCACAGTACGACTGTTAAGTGAGCAAATGCAGATGCCTGTGAAACATTTACCTGCGAGGACCAAACAAAATAACTAGGGTGGAGACGCTTCGCACTCCTGGTCCTTATTAGGCCGTGAGACTAAGTACCAGCTATAAGTCACCTCCAGACCAGGATCCTTCCCGCGGTCTCCACACCCCTCACCACCGGGAAGGTGTTCTTCACGGAGCAAACTCGCACGGGAGGGGAAGGCACCTGTCCTACTTTTCAGTTCAGACCTCTCTCTCGGCCGATTGCAGACCCGGTGTCCGCCCCGCGAGACCCAAGGAGATTCACAGCCAGCCTCGCCTCTCCCCAACAGACTCTGGGGTGCTAGGCTTCCCCGCCGGACGCTTCCCGCCGCTTCTCCCGGGCCATGCCGCTCACTCACGGGCCATGCCGACCACCGCACCGAGCCTGAAAGAGGGCGACTCGAAAGAGCAACCGCTTCTTCACACGCTCAGCCGCAGTTCACACTAGTCGATCTTAAAGGCTGAGCCCACGCGGGCCTTCACCGGGCCTTCACCGACACCTTCTCTCTGTCCAACGCCCCGCCCACCGAGACTTGACAACAGACGCCGGCGTGGCCGGCGAGCGACTGCGCGTGCGCTGCAGGGGGGCGGGGCGGCCTCCGGTCTGCCTCCCGTGGAAGACCGGCGCTCCCGGCCCCTGCGCTAGGCGGGTCTGGTGGAGTCTAAATAGCGGGTCGTTTGTCTGAGAATCCCATGTGTTCCGAGCAGGGCGGCTTGACCAGCTCCCGTTGTTTGTAACGACAATAAAGGCTACGATATCTAACTTTTCGACACAGAACGTTGGCTTTCATTCATTCCCTTGAAGAAGCGGGAAGGGGGTGGTAGAGGACAAAACAGATTTTAACCCTGCGAAAGGCAAGTGTTGGTCCATTACATATTTTCCTTCCTTATTCTCGCATCAGCCCTGTAAGGTAGGCTTCATTGCTCTCATTTTACGTAAAAGGAGACTGAGACTGAGACGAGAGGTGACTGAACTAACAGGTAGGGACTGGTGCAAGTGAAATGGACTCTCAAGTCTGTTAATTTACAATTTATCCCAGTGCCCTCGTGATAGTTGATAGTACTTTGAGTTTTAGTGTAATATTCTGTGCTTGGATTGTGTGATAGGGGGAGTATGGCAGAGAATGCAGTTTTACAACGCTTTCACAGTAGCCCAGAACAACCTCGGACCCTAAATAAAAGCTGTGGAGCATCTCCCATTGCTAGGAACAGACATGTATGCTTGATGGTTCATTTGGTTGATACTTACTTTCTTTATCTATTCCGTTATTACAAACTGAGAAATGTGTAGAGTTAGTCTGAACACCCTAAATTTACCCTATTTTTTAAGACTTATTTCTGAAGTTTTCAAAGATATATAAAAGTATACAAAATGCTATCATGGACCCCCAAGTATATATGACCAAGTGCCCACAATTTTTATTTTACTTAGTAAAATAGCCTATTTTAGAGAAGGTATGACAAAGTGAAGAATGAGGGCTCTGAAGATGGAATGTCTGGGTTGAAAGGAATTTGGGCCCATTATTTCATTGCACTGAAGTTTCCTTACCAGTAAAATGGGGAGGTAATTGTACCACCTTCATTAACTGAATTAATATATGCAAAGTATTAAGTGCCCAGCATATGGTGGCACTCAATATGTTAGCTACTGCTGACATTATTCTTTCAGCCTCAGAGAGCCTTGTAGTTTCCCTATGCCCCATCCTTTCTGTTCACTATTGCTTACAGGCCAGTTGTCTGGGGAACCTCTTCTGGGGTAACTTGGGCAGGGGGAAAAAGATTGACTTTCTGGCTGTACTTCTTAGAGAGATAAAGAGATCGTCTAAAGAAGAAGGGAGGAAAGGAATTTGGGTTAGGAAGGTAGGTGGCAGGGTTGTTATTTCTGTATATGGTCTTAATTTACAGTCTAATTGAGCTTTCTTTGCAGCTGAAAATTGTTTTTTGAGTTGTAGGGATACACATGTTCATCATGTACCAACAAATGTTGACGTGTCTGCTAGAGAGAACTGGAGACTTAAAATTACTGTGAAGCAATTACAAATTTACTCCAGAAACTTCTGTAACAAATATCTTATTACTTCATATTTAATAATGAAATTAAATCTGACTCTGTTCCCATCCCTTTACTAATGAGAAATTAAGTGTTCTTAGTCATTATTTATTTCCTTACCTGCAGAACTGTGGGAATGCCCTAGACACTTAGTGAAACAGAACATGTGGGTAAAGTCCTGTGTCTTTAGTTTATACCAGAATATGTTGTCCAAAGCTATATGGTCCTGGCAGTGGCTCCAAGATTCCTAGATATCTTCAGCAGGGGTTCCGTTGTCAAGTTCTCGGGCTTCTTAAGTGTATCTGAGTTCTTGTTCCCTTGCCAGAGTACTGGAGGGAGCCCACAGAATCCACAGACCTCCATTCTCTTCCCAAACTTAGAAGAATTTCTTTTCTGTGCTTTCAGCTTTGTCCTCCCTCTCTCAAAAGCACTTGCCTCTCTTCTTTCTCTGGATGATCTAGCAATCCCTTCAATCAGTTCAGGATTTTCATTCATTTGACATTTTGTTATTATTGAACCAGGATGTTCTTGTAGAATCTTCTCCTTCCAAGAAGTCAGTCAGGCCTGTATTTCCATGACTCAGGGATTTGTATTGCAGAGTTAAACACTGGCCCATACACTGTAGAGTCATCCTCATCTCTGATCATTTTTCCTCTCGTCATAGAGACCTTTCCTAACCACCCCACCCAAAATAAAGTAAGCTAGCCTGCCATTAATCTCTGATATTACCCTCTATACATTTCTTTTATGGCATTTAAATATATTCTTGAATTTTTCACTTGTTTGTTGTTTCATTTATTTCCTTCCCAACTCAGAACACCTTGTTAATTGCTGTGTTGCTACGTCCTGAGCAAATTAAGAATACTTGTATTAATTTACAAAGTTTTAACTCTAATAATTTTTGAACAGGTAATACATTCACTTTAAAAAGTACACAAAGATTACAGTGAATGGTCTACCTCGCATTGCATGTTTCCCGGAGACCCAGTTCCCTTCCACAGCTAATTATCAGTTTCTTCACACCTGACGTTCTAATTTCCTCAGCTTAGAATTTCTAAGCCCTGGGATGCGCTGGTAAACAGGAACTGCTCTACACGAACCTCTAGAAACAAAATCGGCCAGCATTTTAATAGTTTCCTTACAAATTTGGTTTGAGGGGTTGACCACCTTTCTCCTATTTTCAGCAACTCAAGGACACCTGCAGAGGGGAGCGCACAACACCTTGAGTCCCAATTTCCGGTTCACAGATAATCTATGCTCTGAGGCTTGACAGTTACCATGGCTCCGGGCGCGAAGCATTTAAGTCATTCAGGGGCGCTGGATGGTGACGCCATCAGTCCCGGCGCGCTCCGAGGGCGGGGAAGCAAGGTAGAGGGGAAACTAAGCTCTTAGTGTAGCAGGGACATGGAGCGGCGGCGGCGGGAGGTCGGGGGAGGCGGCGGGGGCGTGAAACTGCGGTAGTTGCCCTCTGGTTTGGTGGTGTGGCTCTGTGGAAAGGGCGCAGTTCCTAACCCCCTTTCTGGCAGCGGCCGGGGCTCGGGGCTGAGAGCGGCCGTGGGGCCGCCTCCCCGGGCCCCCTGGCTCCGCCATGTTCCGCAGGGCACGCCTTAGCGTGAAACCGAATGTCAGGCCTGGTGTAGGTACCAGGGGCTCCACCGCCTCAAATCCCCAGCGTGGCCAAGAGGTTCCCAGGGAGCCGGAGCCCGCAGCGGCCTCTGCGTCGAAACCAGCAGAGTCCACAAATGTGCTCCCGGTCAATTTCGGGGAAGCGGAGCCCCAAGAAAAGGCTCCCAGGAGTAGGTAAGTACCTGCAGAGGGAAGCGTTTTCATTTGCCCGGTCTCTCCGGAACTGTCACCTGGAAGCTTAGCAAAAAATGAACTTCATCTAGGAGTACTTCCTCACTTCCACTAAGCCTTACAGTTGAGGCCCAATGAACCTACTCCGAACAGCAGTTTGTTCCTCTGACGGCAGAGTGTGGCAAATGTGGATTTTATTATGATTTATAGCTTTTTGGGAAGGGGATGATGTTTTCGAATGGTGGTGGGAGGAATCCTGGTGTAAGGGTCTTGAAGAATATTCACGCAGGGTACTATTTTCATTTGAGAATTTATAGATAACCTTAGTTTTCATTCTTTTGGAGTACTTGGCGGGAGTAAGTAGTTTAAAAAATTTTAAAACATTGATTTACTCTTAAATGAAGACTAGTGTTACTTTGGTTCTGCTGATTTCTGTCAAGAGGAAGAAGGTCGCTTTGATTTGAGGGTGTGCTCGTTTAACTATGGTGACCATGTTTTCCAAACGGAAAAGCATGTGTCATGTACCATATTTGGGTTCAGGATTCTTATACTTAATTTAACAATTTAGTAGACTTTGCCAGGTAGAATTTACTTATCTGTAAAGTAGGGATAATATTACCTGCTTTGGAGAGTTACTGTGGAGATTGGAGATAACTGATATAAACCATCTTGTACAGAACATGGTAGAATAATTGACTACAAAAAGCTATTTGTTTAAAGCAGAGGTGATCGAGCTCTGTTTCTATACTATATAGTTGAGGAAACCTATAAAAACCAACCCTATTAAATGACAGTGAGATGGTATAAATTCTCTTTATGCTTTGAGAGGAAGGTGAAAATTTTATTCCTTTTTTTTTTTGATTCAGCTTCCTCTGTTGGCCTGAACTGGGGCAGAGTGAAGGGTGTTATTTTGCTAGCTTAGTTATACTTAATAATTTTCTAGTTTCTTACATGAATTTGTTTCAAAATTTCTCCACAAAATAAAGATACAAATACCAGTCATTGTTAATTGCAGAGATCCTGTTAATTACAAATGAGTATATGATGATTGATAATTTAATAAATACTGAGACCCTGTTTTGAGACTTTTTGACTTAAGGATATTTCATTGTTAGAGTTGACATGTAGGCGGTATACATTGTATTTTGTCATGTATTTTTCTTTTTCGTGGGCCTTTGCTAGTTGTAAAAATCTATAAGGTGTGTGTTCTGTTCTTTGCATCCAACATAATTGTATGAAATGAAAATGGTGCATTTTTCACATCGTAAGGTCTGAGATGAGAATTTTAATGGAAGACTTTGTGGAAAGCTTATTCCATAAGTGTAGGCATTTTCTACTTTTACATATAACTAATCATAATATATGAAAAAAGTAGACTGCTTTTAATTTTTGACTCATACCCCATTCATCTTAATTTGTTTTTAG